GGAGAGAGAGAGAGAGAGAGAGTCTGGGGAGCCGCGAGAAGCTCTTCTCGGCGCGCGTTTCCTGCGCTTGACTGCAAGACTGCCTCGCTTAAGTAATTAGACTGCCGGCTGTTCGTTACCTCAGTTATTCCTGAAGAGGAGAAAACTGCCAAGGATGGTGCGCGTACGCTAGCAACAAGCCGACACACCGCGATACACTGCGAGCTAGCTTGTTATTTCATTTGGGATATTATTATTTTTTTTATGTACTACTTCATTCCAATGCTGAAAAAAAATTCAACAATTTGTTTGGCATTTCCTATAAAATTCTCATCGAAAGGAAATATTTCTGAAAGACGTTTATCAAGTATGACTTAACGCAACGTTGTTTATGAAATATTTCTCTTTTTAAATATTGGCACGCTGGCGAGGCAGCAGCGCGTCGCGAGCAGCCTTGCGCGATATTTTACGGACGCCATCGAGTTCGACGAAGATGAATTTCTTAAGAGATTTTTTTATGACCACACGTGTAGAAATCGATCGCGTCGCCGGCTGTAAGAGCCAATCAGAGACGGGAAACTAACGACTTAAGTCTCAACGACGAGCGTCGATGCTTGATCGTGCGGAACAAACTGCTTTTCCGATAATATTACTTAAAGCATGTACTATGATCTTCGCTTTTGAATGATTACGCGTTGTAAAACGATTTTCACTGCGAAATTCATACGTGCCGGGCAACCCTCGTCGTCGACAGTAATTTACTACCGCGCAACAACATTCGATAATTATCATTTGCAATGTAACTTATACTTCAGTCGAGCTGTAATTTCTGATCTCTCTTGGCCGGTCGTTGAAGCGCGGATTATAGACAAACTGACGTCAAATAGATCGTAATCAACGAGTTTCCCTTCTGGTGATATTTCTTACCTTACAACACGATTATTTGACGACTATTTGATCGAAAAGTTCATCGCGAAAAATCCACAATTTTTAAATGTAAATTCCTAGAAATGGATAGAGAAAAGAACTATTTTCGAATACATAAGATATGATATATCGGCCAGCAGAAACTTGATGGACATTAAAATATAATAATTTCTATTCTATTTGTTATTTTTTAGATATTTAATTTCGTTAACTTTAATAGGCACCGCGCGATATAATCGATAGTTCAAAGTTCGTAAAAACACATTTGTAGAATCAATGCGTAGTTGTCGATTTACATATTTTTCCTCGCGTATATAGAATTTCTCGGGATGCTTGGAAACGACTGTTTGGGCGCAATGTGTGGCGCAAGCCACGATGGTCGTGAAACGGCCTCGAAATTTCCACGGATTATTCAACGGATCAGTCTGACTGATAACGCTGGCGTTGATCGTTATGATTTGATTTATACAAATTATCAAAGCAATTATCAAAGCTGCTGGTGCTGCGTACGTGTCGTAACGATCGTGCGTTCATGTCGCGTGTACGGGCGGCGCAGTGTTTATCTCGTGAATTATTAGCTGGAATTACACGCGGAAATCACGCGAGAGAAATATCCACGCGGGGAAGAAAGAGTGAATTGCGTTTAGGATCGCGTAATACGCCTCGCGCGGCCTTTATTTGGCGAAACAACGCGCCGCGCACTCGCGAATACCCGCGAGTTAGACAAGCTCTAAAAGATTTCACTCTTCGCCAAGTAAATTTTATCAAATATTTCCTTGCACCAAGAGACAAATTATCCTTCACGTAAAAGTAATCGTTACATAGCTACTACACTACTGCACTATTTATTTTATTCCCGTTATTTCCTATTAATTATCACGGGAAGATTTAAGATTATCTCGGTATTTCTTTGTTGAAATTTGACGCAAAGCGACTCAGATCTCAGGCACTGCGCTGACGCAACGGAAACACGCGGATGACGTCGCAGCAACATAGAGATGCGCAACGTGGCGGCAATAATAATGCGTTTGATTTACGATAAAGCCGTCGCCGCCAGGTCCGTCCGTCCGACGTCATCCGGCGATTTCGTGCGGAGGACGCGTCCGCAGGCGCGATAAGGCAGATAGAATCGAGACGAAAGGATTTACTTCGTCGGCGGGGGGACGATCCTTTTCAGTTGGACGTTTATTCCATCGACGAACTTTCCGACCTCGCGCGGCTCCTCCCAAGCAACTGGCTTGTTATAGAAGACACACGCGCATAACCGGACTTAGACCCAGCTCGCGCGGACACGGGGAGAGAAAAACACTTAAGACAGTCTAGACAATAAAAGTTGCCGTAAAACTTACCAACCGGCGGTTCGTTAATTTCTCAGATTTATCGGCGTGTAAACTTGTTGAATCAATGCCTACCCGAGGAAACGGTATTGCGAAGCATTGTTTAAAACCTAACGTCTCGCGTATCGTCATTTCTGGGAGATTCTATTCTTCTGCTCGACAGAAACGATTGAGAGATTGTTACCTAAGAAAAGAAAGCTGGATACGAGAGAGAAAAATATGTTTCTGAGGTGTAATCTCTCGTTTTAATCTCGTTATTCTAAAGATACACGATTACTTATTTTATTTTATATATAAAATGTATATCAATCTTTGTAACGGAAATAATATTGATTGTTTTGTTATATGTATTCTTCTAAGATAGGGTCATTTGAACATTTTTTAAATTTTATCTCAACTTGTGTGTGTGTAGGCATTTTTCTACGCGTTACAGAGATTTCTTTAGTTGGACATATCGACAGATACGAGTTAACGCTAGAATCATCCCGTGTTCCAGGTCCACGTACGAGAAGAGTGAAGAGGACAGACGGACGTGGCGGCGGTACTCCCGAAGAAAAACGTCCCAGGACCGCGTTCAGTGGTGAACAGTTAGCGAGACTAAAGAGGGAATTCGCGGAGAACCGATATCTGACGGAAAGACGGAGACAGCAACTCTCGAGGGATTTAGGTCTGAATGAGGCGCAGATAAAGATCTGGTTTCAGAACAAGCGGGCGAAAATCAAAAAGGCCAGTGGTCAGAAAAATCCCCTGGCGCTTCAGTTGATGGCACAAGGACTTTACAATCATTCAACAGTACCGCTTACTAAAGAGGAAGAGGAACAGGCCGCGGAGCTTCAAGCGAAATGACGATTGCAAACTTAAATAAATGCTCGATAAAATTTAGCTTGCAACTTTGATCCTTGAATTTTATATTTGACCTCCAAGAAGTTATCAGCGAAGATTAAGTCGTCCTTTATTTAAGTTGAATTATTTTGGGCAGATTTATTTAGAAAAATCGTAAAAAAAAAAAATAGAATATGGCTTAATCAAATTATCACGAAAAATTCTCTCGAGACATTTCAAAAAACATTTGACGATTTTAGAATTTTATAAAATACGGAATTTTACGAGATAACAATAATTTTGCTTTGACAAGATAATAAAGACACTTATATATTTAGGGAAAAATATTTTTGACATATTTTGTCATATTTTGTTGATTTTGCAGATTTCTAAAAAGAAATTGAGTCAACCAAAGCGATTTAAATCTTTATGTTATTTAAAAAAAAGATAAATATACAACTTATACTTTAAAGAGAGTCATATTAAACAAATTAGGCCAAAAAATTAATTAAAAAATTAATTAAAAAAATTTAGCAGAACGGACCAAAATTTACGGTCTGTCATTTCTCTTCCTTAAAATGAAAGACTGGAGTATTTATTTCGCTAGACGTACTAGTACAACTCATTAGAGACAGTCAACTCGAAGAATTCTTGTCTTGTAATTAGCGCTTCCGATAGAACAACAGTTTGGCGAATGTCGTTCGCTCTTATTCCTCGATATAATCGTAAGAGGAAAGTTAGTTTTACCAAGATGGGGCTACACGAATTAGTTATGGTTGCCGTTCTTTGTCATCGCCTTGAAGAAAAATAAATACCATAATACTTATTCCTAGATCGCAGCACACAGTTGGGTCAGATTTAAAAAGAAAAAAATCGGCAATTCAAAGCAAAAATATTATCGCGTAAGAAACAACAATAATAGTAATTAATATTGTTAAAAAAATTGATTTTTTTCAACAAAAGAATATTGATTTTATTAGGTAACCTTCTCTCATAAAATTTGATTGAGTTTGACAAAAAATTATAAGCACATTTGATTAGCATATCATGCGATGGCATACGGCGATTAATTTGTTACAAAGGAGATTAACAAGTGCCATTTTTTGCAATTTTTCCGGCAATATTGTTTGTGTGAAAACTTACAGGACCGCCTAGTGACAAAAAGAAAATAGGAATCGGGCGAATAAAAGGAAGAATAGGAGAGAACTCAGATTTTTCGTTAATTTATTGTAAAAATGTAAGATATTATATCGCGAAAAACCGGAGTGATTGCGATGTGCAATAGAAAATTATACATAATAGAAAAGTAAATAAGTGACGAGCTACGTATAAGTGTGTTGTATATGTAATCGGCGGAGCGACGTGTACATAGTTTACCATTTAGCGATGGCGTTGTCCCGATAGACTGTTTAAAATATAACTTAGCTATTTATTTACATATGGTATATGAATCGTAGCGAGAACGCATACGAACGATCGCGCGACAACTTGATACTTGTAAGATTATTTAAATTCGAATTAAATATTCCCATTATGAAGTCACTGAGCATGATTTATTTTATCAATACCTACCTCTCCCATGTCACGTGAATGTTTGCTCGGATAAAATATAATCTATAGACAGACGTTAACAGCTATGTGCAAAATCGAAAAACTCGATTAATGAATTATACGGCGACATATCCACGAAATATATCACGATTGATGATTATGACAGGCAAATAAGTTTACATCACTGAAGTATAAAAAGCGAATTACATTTGAATAATATTGGACTTAAATATCTTACAAACTGTTTGACATTCTGAAACATTATTTAGAGGAAATTTCTTATTAAAATTATCAAAAGTGGCGCACCCATGTTGTCTTGAAAAAATATTAAAAAATAAGACCAGCATCGCACTTTAAATTTATAGCGTCGTTTAAATTTATTTAACTATCGTTTAAATTTATAAGTTAAATAAAATTTGTATAATGTAAATGTTTTAATTTTCTACATATTCTATACTCATACCGAATGTATAATGATCGGTTTTCGTATATACTGAGAATATTCATATAACATCTGCACACTAATATCATAGTTGTATATTCTCGGGACATTTATATAGTATATCATTTATCAATCGTTTATATTCCATTTATGAATAATTCGCACGCGCGCGCGCGCGCGTGTGTGTGTGTGTGTGCGTCTGTGTATATGTGAGAGAGGACAAATAAAAATAAACATGTACAAATAGTATTTTTTTTAAATATTTTCAACTATTCGACGTGTTGTAAAGAAAAGCGAGAACGACAGTTCGAGACGATCTCTATAGGGATGAAAGCAGCGGGGCGGGTCGATTCGCATTCAACATTTGGCGCATGCTTCCACCCCCGGCTCGTTTCAGGCATCGTACAAGCCCCATGAAAAGCTCCTCCTGCAGGCGAGATATCGATTGATTTACAGTCGAAAGGTGGCCATCGTTGATATCAAGCCAGCCACGCCTACGTTATACTGTAAACGCGTTGCGTGTGTTGCGTTACGCTCGCGAGTGGTATCGGTTAACGCGCGTCACACTTCATTTAACCCAGCTATGTACTATTCTTTCCCCTCTTTCTTCATATCTCTTCTTCATATTATATCGTTTACGGAAAATATATTGAAATTTTTTCTAAAAACCGCACAATCCTTAGGCAATGAATCTGTTTTTCGGAATGATCCTGAGAATACAAAATATATAAACCAAAAGTAAAAAATTATTTCACCGGATTAGGGGATAAGTGTTGCATATTATTCAAAGATTTTATATGTAGAATCATCTAATATCGACAACAATATCTGTAAGAAACGCCATTACTATCGTTTTAAAAGCAGTTTTTTTTTTTTTACTTTTAAATAAGACGAAAGGGAAAAATATTTTACGCGTTCGAAAGAAAATCGAAAGAATTTTAAATTCTTTGGAAATTGTAATTGAACGTGAAACATCTTCTGTCCTCAAAATTCAAAGGTCGAAAACCGAAGATCTCCGAGGAACATCGAAACTCGAACGTTGCTGTCAAAAGGGGTGCCCGGTAAGTAATAGGTAACATTAACGTACAAGCTACAGCAGAGTGGAAGGACTGACATGACGAATAATCGACGATAGTCACTTTCGACTAGACTTCCGTTATACCCTCGTCCACGAGAAGAAATGGCTCTCTTTAACGCTGTGACGATTAGGTATATCGATACCGTCTTGACCCAGTAAGGTTTCCTTAAAGATGGGATACAAATGTTCAATCATTATTAACTTTGACAGGATAAAGTCGCTTACAAATTTACTAAAACTTACAATTTAGGCTTAAACGAATATAGCAACGCGCGTGTGCGAAATTGCCAAATTGTTATTTATTCTGAAGAAGAAAATATCGTATATCTTTTATCATATTAGACTATATGTGGCGATATCATTAATTTCGTTTTTGTTTACTCATGTTTACATTAGTGAAAAAAAAATTTTTTTCAAAATTTCCTTACAAGCAGTTCACTCGGGAGATCTGTAATATCGAAAGGAGATGTGCATAATTTAGTCGTCGTCGCATCTGATCTTCCTCGAGCAAATTCCCGATACGACGTATACGTTCAGATTTCATGATAAAATGCCGAAATTGACCGCGTTTCGGCGCTTGGGAATATATGGAAATCCATGCCGGTCGCGTCGGTGACTAATAATAGGCCGAGATATATACAACGACCGATCAGCCGACCACTCGGACCACTCGCCAGTGGTCAGCGGGGTCCAATACGTCCCTGTCAGATTAGAATCGCGGTACTTGACAGACTCGCGCTTCTGTCTGTCCGTACGTCCGTAGCGATGCCTCCTTTGGGCGGGGAAAGGGGGAGGATGGGGGGAGGGGAGTCAAACGCCATGCCACGCCAGATCCATAAAGGCGATCGTTCCTGCTCCTTTGTCCCGGAATCTTTACAAATGAGATACAACCAAGAGAAAAGCGGATGCACGTGAGGGGGTACGCAGGCATTAACCCCGTCCGACCCGTTCGGCATTCTGGAAGAACCGCGTATTATGCATCCGTCTCGTTGGACTTCACTTCGTGATTCGTTCGACGATCTTTCGTTACTTCATGGATACTCGATACGGGGCGATATTAACCATAGATAAGCATCCGCATTCGCATTTAGTACAATGTCGTGTCGGATTGAGAGAATTAGATTAGTTATCGTTGACTGATCAATAAGCTTCCCCTGGTATCAAAGAATTTATTTATCGGAAACGTTCAGTCACTAGTAAGCAGTTGTAAATTGCACAGCGTTACATACAAAAACTCATGCTTTTTTGCTTTGTTCCCTGTAAACGATAATTTATATGTTTTAATATATTTAATCGCATCGTCGTGAGACGATAAACCGGAATCGTTTCCGATGAAGTCACAGCAACGGTATCGTTATTCTTTAACCCGGTTGCCAGATTGATAAGAAAACGCTGGGATCATTATCTAAATACAACCGTACTTCCTGCTACTTGTGTACGAAAGTAGCTGGCCTTCCTAGAATTGATGAACGGGAAATTGAAGGCATTAACGGTCTTATTTCTCTTGCAAGTAGAGTAGTGAACTGAGAGTTTCATTGCTTCCCTGTTACTCAATAAGGCGACTGTGTGGAAAAAGTGATAAATATCTTCCAGATAATTATTAGAGATTACTCAATTAATAATAAATTTACCAGCTGCTTAGTAGCCGGTTATCTCAAAAATCGTATTACATACGATTCGGATATTCGAAAATTCACGTTTACGGATGCAGGATTTAAACGGCAAAGAGCAAAGAGCGGCAAGGTAGCTCGCAGATTAATTATCGTAATATCGCTGATACTCGGTATCTATTACACGCAGACCAACTGACACGCCGGTGATCGTTAACTAAACGATGAGAACCATCGTGTGGGACGGGACCGTGGCAAAATCTACGGCGGATCGATCGACCTCCGCGAACGAGGCGGCTAATGCGTAATGGTAGATACGCCGATAAGAGCGTCGCGCTATCAATCGACACACGCTGCGCTCGCACACGCATTCCTCTCGACGCGTCTCTTTAGCGCAGCACCGATATATCCGCGCGCGTCGACCGGTCACGGCGCAGCCTCTCGAAACCGATCGTATCTCTCCGCGGCATGGTTTCTTTTTCCCGGCGTTATGCCTCCACCTGGTCTCTCGGCACGACTCAAGCGCGACTCGACGCGCGGCGTTCACGCTCGGCTATGCCGGGATTAAGAGGAGGATAATAATTCGTGGCGGCCGTGAGAGATCGGTGCGACTCCGGAGAGATCTCCGAGGATGATTGTCGTTGGCGAACGAGGCATTAGTTGC